TCGGACGCTTAACCGACTGCGCCACCCAGGCGCCCCGAACATCATTTTCAAAGTCAGAAACAACCATCCCTAAACGTGCAGCAGGATCTTGCCAATTTCTTCCAACTGGGGCTTCTGCTGCAGACCATGTGTGACATTCCTGGGACCTCATGGCTCCCCGAAGCAGCCCACAGCGTCCCTGCGGAGAATCCTGAGATGGGGACTCTGTGATAGAAGCTAGAGACTCCCCAATTCTGGATCCTCCCACCCATTTGCAATGCTCATTCCATTGTGTGACTGAGACAACTTCTTTCCAGTGATAAGGAAATAAAGGCTGTTGACTTTTTAGCTAGTGGGAGAGGTGGGGGTGGGGGGTGGATCTGCTTTTCTGTGCCTTTGCTTTTCTTCTGCCTCACTCCTCCAGGCTGGCTTCTAAACACGCCGTCAAATATTAACTCCTCCACACGGGCGGTGTGCACACCCCCCAAAATTGGGCCAGGGCATGGAAAAGAAGAGAAACTTCACATCAAGCCATTTTCTGTCTCAGGTGCAAATGGAAGGCTTCACCAGGATTGGGGTAATCAGACAATCTGAGGCTGGTCTCCGTTTCCACTAAGCCTTGTCAGTGCAGAAGGTGGTAAGTTGGTTCAACGTCAAGTCCTCGGGGCAGCAGAACTGAATATGCTCTTTCTTGCCACCCCCCTTCCACAAAATAAACAGCAATAAAAACCAAACGCAGCCCGGACAAAAAGCCGAGGCTACTAGAAGAAATGCGACAACTGACACTAAGGCCCTGCTCAGGCTTCACTCTGGAAGAGGAGAGGTTACTTTAATACAAGGAGCCGAGAAAATTCTGAAATTCTCTTTCTGGAACCTGGAAGGGCATTTCCACCTCTCCTCGGGCCACCTGCAGACTTCAGAAGTGGCTCAGGACAGAGGAGCAGCACAGGCCCTCGGGCCGAGCTATTGCAGGGACTACCTGCCACAAGGCCCTTCCGGAAGTCGCCGCCCGCCTCAAAGGCCTGTCTGAAAGGGCATCTCCAGGGGATCGGCCGTGTGACGCACACAGCAAGGAGCATCAGTTCCCCTAGTGTGGCCGCTCACTGAATCCTCTTTGCTAATAATAACCCTGCCAACCGAGCGATTAAGCTGTGAGCACATTCCAGGGACTCATCAGGATACGAGGGTTTTGCCCCCAGACTTCCTGTTCAGGGTTGCGCCCACTCTGGATTTCAAGCTGAGTTCAGCTGACCCTGATAAGGTTCCTGGAGAGCGCTCCTTTCTCCTTCTGTCTTAGAATAAAATCACCCTGGATGCCTCTTGTGACCTCTGGCCTCGTACTGCCCCGATTTCCTGCCCGCTCACAGAACAGCCTCTCTACCTGACCAGCCAGGGAGGGGGCTTGGCACATGCATTTCCTGGCTTCCGGGGAGCCCCTCGAAACACATCGGGTGTGTCGGCCATTCGCGGGGCTTGGATGACCCTTTCCGTGAGGTAGTCCACACACGCGCACGCTCACGGACTTGCCAAGGACACCCCCTGCCCAGGAAGGGGGAGGGTAAAGGAGCTGCTCAGAGGTCACCTGTGAAATGGATTAGGAATTACGGGCGCTGGTGTGAGACCTGGGGTTCCAGCCCTGGCCTTGCCGCTTAGGCAGTGACCTTGGCCAAGTGACATAACCTCTGTCTTAGTTCTGCCCCTCTGTGAATGGGAACAATATTACCCACCCCATGGGGGCTGTGATGAAAATTAGATAATCCATCTAAAGTTCTCCACATGGTGTCGGGCACGTTGCAGCTGATCAACACGGGCAACCGTTCT